ATATATATATATCACATTGGACATAAGTTTATTTGTTATTTGTAAGAACATTTGTAGTATTTGCTCTTATAATAACAATATTCTTGAAAGAATAAATAAGAAACTTAATTTTTTAATATAAATTTTATAAAAGTTTAAAAAAAATTAATCGTTATCATTAATTTTGCAATTGTGAGAAGAATATTGCACATATAGTATCTAGATTTATTATAATTGTGAAGATAAAAGAATAAAAAAAGGAAACTAAGAAAAGAAGATATATTTGAAATTTTTTTGAGAAAGGCAATATGCAACAAAACCTAGCACACGTTTCATCTTTGATCAAAAAAAGAACAACAAAGGTAAATATACTGTAATATTAAATTTTTATTATTTTATTCTATTACGTTTTAAATATTTTATTTTAAATTTAAAAAGTTATTTTTGTGAGAGAATGATTTGTTTGAAATACTTTGTGAATTATATAGTATCCACCGCCATGTAAAATCGTAAACAACATAATAATCGGTGATGAAGCACCGCTTTTTACGGATTGCAACAGTTTTGGTGAACTGCTTTTCGAGAAATTGAAAAATAATCCGCATGTCATAGGACAGGTAGATATTAAAATAACTTTTACGCCTAGCTTGTTCATATACCATAAGCAAACTGAATTGTTTGATAAGCTTAGAAAATATATTATTTTAATGTGTTGCAGATAGACTCGGTTACGGACAAGCGGATAACTTTTTCTGAGATTAAGGACCGTAGTGTCAGATGCGCATTATGGTTGAAAAATCGTGGAATACGCAGCGGAGATATCATCGGCGTTTCCACTCATTTTGATTATACAGCACCTTTGCTCGGCTGCCTCTTCATCTGCGCTCATTTTTATCCCATTCATCACAAAATCAGTATTCGTAAGTCTTTTTTTATCATATAAATTTTATCATTATTACTTTTTGTTTATAAGAATAATACTTTTAAGTGTTAAAAATGATCTTAATCGTCTGAGTGAAAATAACCACATGAAAGGTCGAAACCTTGTTTGTTTTATTAAGAGTTATTCAGCAATTAAGGCATTGCCGAACAAGAAGACCTGACTTGGTTTTCATGTTTCTTTCTTGAATTATTTAAACAATTTTATTCAATTTAGTTATTTTATATTTTACTAGAACATTATCGAACGCACGCTTCGCGCGCGTCACATGTTCCCTAATGTTCTTTTTATTTTTCACTTGATCTTTTCTATTTATTTATAGATTTATCAAATATTATTTATTATTTATCTTCTTATTAAAATAATATTATATTAAAAGCGTTTTGTAAATAATTTTGAATATATCCAAAGAAAAAAAGAAATTTTTGTCGACGTAGAAACAAATATGCAAACTTTTAAATGCTTGCAATTAACACTATTATTACAATACTTATTATTATTATATTACTATAACACAATTATTACTAGTATATTATAATTATTATACAGAATTGGGAAAGTTACTTTTTAAAAGTAATTTGTTACCTTTACTCATTACCGAATCAAAAAAGTAATTATTGTTATCGTTAAGAAAGAAAGCATTACTTTTTTGAAATGAGATCAGATTAAATAAAAAATAAATTTTTCTCATATTTTTTTTGTTAAACTATCAGTAAAAATAATAAAATTTTTTATCTTAAACTGGCAAGACTAAAAAATTTAAGAAGATTTTAAAATATTCAAAATGCCAACATACAAACATGTAGTTTTCATTAAATTTATAAATACGGCAAATTTACACTTTTTTTTATCCTCAATTCTTTGTTAACAAATTTTTAAAAAGTGATATTTTTAAAATTTGTTTTTGTGATTGATTTATATAATAAACTATTTTTAAAACAAGTTTTAAATGTAATAACTTTGAGTATCAATTGAAGACTAAACATTGAATGTATAGAAATTATGTCCTAAATAGTTTCAAAATAAAAAATGAACGGTGAAAGTAACTGTTAAATTCGTTACTGTTATTGAAAAAAATATAATAATAAAATATAATTATTATTCATTACCGTTACAGTTATTAAAAAAAAGTAACGCCGTTATTACTCCATTATAAAAAAAAGTAATTGTAACGTTAACAGTATTACAATTAACACGTTACTTTCCAGCTCTGTTATTATATTATTATAACACTATTACTGTTATACTAATAACTCCTTCGCATATACACATAAGTTTTAAAATATACGATTTCAATGATTTAACTGTTCGGAATTAATTGCCCTTTTCGGCTCGATTTCGAAGGCGACACTTATAATTCCCCCACCGCTCGAGACTTAATGGCTGAGTTTTATGCTTCAGGAAGTTATATTAAAAATGCACCGTTTCCGCCAAACTATTATTAAATCAATTTTTTAATTAAATTATTTTTATTTTTATAAACATTAATTTTTATAAACATTAAATTTTTTTAACATATTTTATGTGTTTTATAATATTTAATGATAATAAATACATTTATAATAGAATTATTACATAATAAATAGAATAATTAAAGTTTTAACAATAGGTTCTCTTATTTTTTATTTAATTTGCAACTTCATGAATTCTATTTTGCAAATACTTTTGGATCGACCAGTCACTTATTTATTTATAACATGATATCATTCTCACAAAAATTGATTTTAACAATAATGTATAAATACTGTAACATTTTTGATAAAAAAAATTCGTTAAATAAGTTTGTTTTTAAATAGCTTTAAGTAGTTTTTTTAATTTCCTTGCGATAAAGTACGTTAACTTAAGCTTAATATTGATTATTTAGTTCATTATATTAAATCTCCTTTCAATATTGTAATCGTCATCTTTTACATTTATCACAGATGACTGCCGCTTCTTGCTGTCTCTGGCGAAACCCAAAATTGTCTTCGTGAATGCGGATATGGTAGAAATTATGGCGAAGGCTGCGAAGGAAGAAAATTTAACTATTGAATTTGTGACTTTCGGACATGCAAAAGGATTTCAAAGTTTCCAGGAAATTATTCAGAAAGAACAAGATGTGATCGATGATTTTCGTTGCACACCAATCTCCAGTTTGGAGGAGACCGCTCTGCTCACTTTGTCATCCGGAAGTGTCGGGCAGCCTAAAGTAGTAATGTTGTCACATCGCGCCTTGATTAACAATATGCTTAATGACACCATGTACGCCACAGAGAGTCAAAAAGTGGTAATGTGGTTCGCAACTTTGCGTTGGATTACTGGTATTATAATGGTTCTTCGGTCGATCTATTTTTGCAAAACACAAATTATTACTGGGATATTCGACGCTGAACAAACGTGTAAAATGATCAAGAAGTATAATGTATGCAAACTTCCAAATTTCCATTTAAGTTAAAAATTAATTTTAATAGTATCATAACACAAGAATATTTATTGGTAGGTAGAGTGGTTTGCTATTTCATCCGGGATGTTTGCAACCATCGTAAAAAATAATCTTTTTCAAAAGTATTGTTTATCGTCCTTAAAGAAGATATGTGTAGGTGGTGCAGCTATAAGATCGCAATTGTTAGAAACGGTGATGAAAGCTTTGCCGTATACAGAAATTATACACGTTTTAGGTAAATAAAAAAAACTATTAATAGGTTATACTTATTAATAGCAAAATGTTGGCATGTCGGCAAATTGCCAGCAGATTTAATCAGAACATGTTAGCAGATTGCATCTAGCGTCAACTATTCCTGCATTCATCTTAGGTTCCGTCGACAGACGTATTTGTAAAATATACCCAGGCAGATTGGCAACAGAAATCGAGCAAATCTTGCTGACGTGACTTGCCAACTGTACAGAATATATTAATTTCTTTATTAACATGTTGGCTGACGAAATCAATTTCGGTATGCTTTCCGTTCGGCCAGCGCAGAGAGTTGAGCGCGAGCTGGGTCATATGGAATATAAACAAAAAAGTTTGACAGTATCATGATCCATGGCCACGTTACCTAGACGAAAAGTGCAATGTTCCTAAGGACCGACGCCGGTCAAATGGAAAGATCAGTATCTCAGGGTCTCTAGGGACTGACGCCGGAGCCAATGTATTAATAAAATAGTTAAAAATTATTCTTAAAAAAAAAACAAAAGAAGTTAAAAAAAATTAGAAAAGAAACATTATTTTTCAAGATTAGAATTAATAATATCTCACAATTGAAATGGTTACGAAAACACAACCTGTTCGATTTCTTTTGCCAATCTGCTGGCGAGTCGTGTCAGCAGCCTCTGCTCAGTTTCTGCCGTCAATCTACCGGCAGATCACATCAGTAATTAATCTGCTGCCGTTAATTTGCTGCCTGGATATGTTCTGCAAGTCTTGCCAGCAAAATCTAAGCTGAATGCAGATGCAGTTGATAATAGGTTGCGCTGACATGTTCCGATCAAGTCTGCTGGCAGTCTGCTAACATTTTGCTCTCACCAGAAACTTTTGGCAGGAATGTGCGAGCTTAGTGGAACTGTTGCTACTCAGAGAGAAGGCGACAAGTTAGGTTCTGTCGGTTATGTGCTTAAAAATGTACAACTAAAAGTAATTGACATCGATACTGGGAATACATTAGGTCCAAACAAAGTTGGCGAACTTCTATGGAAGTCGCCTTACATGCTGACAGGATACTATAATAATCCTGAAGCTACCAAAGAAACTTTAACCAATGATGGTTAGCAGTGTTTGATTTTTTAATCCGCGAGTAAGTTAATTTTTATTAAACCAAATATATGCTCAAATGTCTTTCTCAGGTTGGTTGCGCAGCGGTGATTTGGGTTATTACGACGAGGATGGTGAACTTTATATTTGCGATAGAATCACAGAAACTATTAGAGTCGATGGATTCATGGTTTATCCGACTGAAATCGAAAACATTCTCCAAGATCATCCAGCTATTCGCGAAGTTGCCGTAGTGCGCATACGTGACGACATCAATGAAGAACGCCCGATCGCTTTCGTGTCAAAATTTCCTGACGTAGAGGTTGATAATTAGTTTCAAAATTTCGAAAAAGAATTATACTAATCATTAATTTTATTTGTTTCCTTTTATAATATTATGCCTATTCTTTATTGCTGCATTGAAATGCAGTAAAACTTATTTTTTTCGCTTTTGTTAAACTTCAAATATATACATATATCCATTCGATTTTAAATATACATAAATATATACATTAGTTTAGATATAAAGAACAATTTTGATTGGGAATTTGACAATCTTTAATACTTTCTTTTTTGAAAAATATTTATTTAAAAAAAAATGTATAATTTTTTATAATTTCAAATCGTATTTACAGGTAACAATAGAGGAGTTGATAAAATTAGTAGCGGATAATTTAGAGGATTATAAGCATCTTCGTGGTGGTGTGCAATTCCTGGACGAACTTCCGCATACAGATACCGGCAAAATTGCAAGAAAGCAACTTAGAGAATTAGCAAAATGCTTTGTATCTAATTATGTTACCGCCTAATTATGTTACTGTCAAATATAAAATAATTAATTTACTATTGGTATAGTTTTCGCTGTTTATCTTATTTTTATCTATTTTCAAATAATGTATAGAATATTTTTAAATAAC